AGAATATAAAATACATAAAGAATATAAAATACATAAAGAATATAAAATACATAAAGAATATAAAATACATAAAGAATATAAAATACATAAAGAATATAAAATACATAAAGAATATAAAATGCATACAGCAAAGTTAAGGATAAGCGAGTCTAAAGAGATGTGTTTTCAGAGCAGTCTTGAATAGAGAAAGAGAGGTGGTGTTTCTTAAGTCAGGGGGTAGAAAGTTCCAGAGGTGAGGGCAGAGCAGGTGAAGGCCCTGCTCCCCATGGTGGAGAGGCGGGCAGAGGGTACATGGAGGTGTAGTGAAGAGGAGGATCTGAGAGAGCGAGAGGGGATGGAGATGTGTAGGAGGTCAGATAGGTATGGAGGGGAAAGGTTGTGGATAGCTTTGAAAGTGAGAAGAAGAATTTTGAAGACGATGCGTGATTTAACCGGGAGCCAGTCCTGGGACTGCTGCAGGACTGGAGTGATGTGGTTATAGGAGGAGGTTTGAGTGATGACACGGGCAGCTGAGTTCTGGACCAATTGTAGCTTCTGGAGAGATTTGTTGGGGAGGCCATAAAGAAGGGAGTTGCAGTAGTCAATCCGAGAAGTCACAAGACTGTGAACAAGGATGTCTGTGGAGCGGGGTGTGAGAGAAGGGCGGAGATGGTTAATATTTCTGAGATGGAAATAGGCAGACCGAGTGACATTGTTGATGTGTGAAGTGAAGGAGAGAGTGGTGTCGAGGATGACACCAAGACTCGACCTGAGGCGAGGGGGATAGCAGAGAGTTGTTAAGGGGATGAGAAGATGTTCTGATTTTGAAATAGAGTTTTTGGTACCAACAAGAATGATTTCTGTTTTGTCACTGTTTAGTTGTAGGAAATTGTTAGAAAACCAGTGATTTAGCTCATTGAGACAGTCGGTGAGGATGGAGGGTGGGTGGGTGGAGTTTGGTTTTGTTGACAGGTAGAGCTGTGTGTCATCAGCATAACAGTGAAAATGGACACCAAATTTACGGAAGATGTGACCTAGAGGAAGGAGGTAAATGATGAAGAGGAGGGGTCCAAGGACAGAGCCTTGGGGGACACCCGTGGAGATGGGGGAAGACTGGGAACAAAAGGATTTGAGCTGAATGAATTGAGTGCGGTCAGAAAGATATGATTTGAACCAGTCTAATGGAGTACCTGAGATGCCAGTGGAGGTTAGTCTGTTGAGGAGGATAGAATGACAGATTGTGTCGAAGGCAGAACTTAGATCCAGTAGAATGAGGATAGACAGAAGAGCAGAGTCAGCAGCAAGAAGAAGGTCATTAGTTATTTTTATTAGAGCTGTTTCGGTGCTATGGTGGGGGCGAAAACCAGATTGAAACTCTTCATAAATGTTATTGTTGGATAGGTGAGAGTGAAGTTGACTAGCAACGTTTTTTTCAAGAACTTTGGAAATAAAGGGCAGATTAGAGATCAGACGAAGATTACTGAAGTTGGTGAAGTCAAGACCTGGTTTCTTGATGATGGGAGTGATGGCTGCAGATTTCAAAGCTGTGGGAACAATGCCAGAGGTTAGAGAAAACTGTAAGGAAGAATGGGACCAAACAGAGTCTGGACTGGTGTTTAAAGAACAGAACACCGATGCTCAGCCAGCTGAAAAGCTTTGTGAGTTTTTCACATTTAACTTGTTTTATAGTTTCATTTTTGGAACTGGTATTTAGGTCTGATTTGTTTTATTCTGTCTGTTTACTCCGTCTCTGCCCCCCATCATCACCAACATCATCCACTCCTCCCTAAACTTTCTGCCCTACACTGTCATGACAGCGCCATCTAGTGTCAAGAAGTAATAACAGCAACAGAACAAAATGCACCGTAAACCTGGCACATTGTTACCAAACAACCTCCTTCACTTTCAGCAAAAGTAACATTTTCTCAGAAAGATAACTATTACTGTGATGCAAAATACAACATTTTATTTTAAATCTGTCAGCTGGCAGAAGCTGATGGCTTCGTCTGCTGTATCAGTTCTTGGTGTCCTCCTTAGAGATGTCCAGGAATGGACTACTTTGACCAATTAGCTCTTTTTGCATTGATCTGTAGGTCCATGTCTTTAATGCATTGGAGCGCAGCTTGTAGATGTTTATCATGATGTTCCTCAAAGGTCCCAGACACTAAAATATCATCCAGATAGTTTTGGACTCTTGGCAAATCTTTCAGGACTGCGGGTCATAATTTGGAAGGTTCTGATGAAAGGGTTAAAGGGACTTTTGGGAACTGAAGAAGAAGTCCCTCACTCTGGCTTAATGGTTGTTTGTGCTTTTTACTGAACTTTGTGGATGAACCCTTTACCACCTCCAAGATGGTGGCTGAAGCAGAATATTAATATAATATTATTAGTATTTTTCCCCATGCATGTCTTTTTTTTAAATGTCGGTGGGAGGTTCTTTTGCCACGTCCTCTTTAATCAAAGTTTCTTCTCCACCAATGATGTTAACCTGCAGTTCTTTAATCAGGTCCAGGCCCAGTATTTATGGTCCAGATGTAGAATGATGATGTAACTTTGGTGTTTTAATATACTACATGTGCTAATAACAGCCAATGATGGGTTGGTCACCTTTTGCATGTGACTAGTTTAAACTTGTGTTCTGTCAGTGGGCATTGTGCAAAATGTTGCTTGTAGACAGTTTCTGGTCAAATAGAGAAGCTCAAATGACCTCCAGGAAGTGAGTTTCTTTGTGGTGCTTCAATGTTCATGTGGTGTGCATGATTTGATCAAACGCTGCAGCAATCAGCTGAACATTCACCCTCAGTACTGCTAACTCAGAAATAACTCCTTCGCCCACTACAGCCACAGGTCACTTGAATATTTTGTCAAAATGTCTCTTCTTGCATTTATGACACTTCACTTTAGCACCAGGACAGTGTTATCATTAGCCAGGTGTTTATCTGATCCACATCTGAAGCAGTGATGTTGATCTTTATGACTTGTCTGTTTATGATGAACATGGGGTGGAGGTCCACGTGTTTGATCTGTTTGCACCACTCCTTTCCCTTCAACATGAGCATCTGCAGAATCTCCAGCCTGGAGTGGACTTTTTAACTGTTCGGTGTCAGCAGGTGAGGGTCATCGGGGTTCTCTCTGATGTCCGTTTGTCCTCTACCGGTTCCCCTCAGGGCTGCGTTCTTTCACCCCTTTTATTTTATTTTTACAAACGATTGTCACAGACATTACCCACAAGCGTCACATCGTAACGTTTGCTGATGACTCTGTCATCCTGTCTCTTCTCCGAGGTGATGACCCAGACCCCGGTCCTGTGGTCGGGGGCTTCACTGAATGGTGAATTAAATGTTTCTAAGACAAAGGAGACGGTCATTGATTTTAGAAAAGACTCTTCAGCTGCAGCTCCTGTGCTCATTAACGGTGAAGCTGCTGAGGTGGTGCATCAATTTAAATATCTAGGAACTGTTCTTGATGACAAACCGACCTTTGACCCCCATGTGAACTCACTTTGTAAGAAGACCCACCAGAGAATGTGTTTTTATCAGAAGCTGTGGTTTTAATGTTGATTCTACATTAATGAAAATGTTTTATTCATGTTTTATTGAGGCTCTTAACTTTACCTTCATCTGTTGGTCTGAACTTCTGACATACACAAACAGGAACAAACTCTCGTGGACTCTATAAAAATGTAGGCATAGCCCTAGAGAACCTCACTGACCCACAGAATCTCACTGACCTGCAGAACCTCACTGACCTACAGAACCTCACTGATCTACAGAACCTCACTGACCTACAGAACCTCACTGACCTACAGAACCTCACTGACCT